GAGAGCATATATTTCAATACTAAGATAAAATAAATGGCTATAATATAAGGAGTCTAAAGCAGAAGCTAAACACCCCTTTTGCAGGCAGAGGCTGGAGCGTGTGTCAGTCCGTACTCTGCACTGTGTGAAAACATGAGGATGAAAAAGGAGAACATGACATTCGGTACATCTGCTAGCACGTAACTGCTCAGAAACAACGTTGTGGTTTGGCACCTCGTCTGGCTTTGGCTGGCGTCACTCCATACAGATCACCCCGTGATTCCCAGGGCAATGCTGTTTTCCAGCACCTCAAGCTCTGCGTTCTTAGATGCATGACAAGCTGCTGAGATAAGGTTTGGGGGTTAAAACTGCTCACTACTGGGCAGCACGCTAAATTACCCGCTGTGCTGGGGCTGGGAGCTCTCCTAGACCAGCAGTGTCCAACCTTCCTGTCCTGGTGGACTTTCAAGAGGCATTTGGATATGAATCATAGAATGGTTTGAGTTGGAAGGGACACTTAAAGGCCATTCTGGTCCAACTCCCCTGCAGTGAACAGGGATGCCCACAGCTCCATCAGTGCTCAGAGCAATAACATGCTTGAACTTTTGGTTAGCCCTGAAGTGATCAGGCAGCTGGATTTGATATCTTTGTAGGTCCCTTCCACCTGAACTGTTCTAAGTACTCCACTGGAGTACCATTCAGGAGAGCACTGCTGACTGCTGACTTCAGTTGTACAAATATGTCCTTGAATGCTCTTCAGACATTTGTAGGAGCAAAGAGATCCAAAGTGCTTCTGACCTGTGAACTCTTAGCTTAATGTCAGCTTCATGCAGGAAAGCTTGCTTCTGGAAGTGCACTGTGAATGTCTTTGAGATTGGCAGCTGCCCTTGGTGAATGTACAGCTCCTGAAAGGTTTGGGGCTCAAGCTTGCCCTTTAGATCAATCACAGAATGGCTTAGCTTGGAGGAGACCTTGAAGAGCATGCAGTTCCAACCGCTGCTGTGGGTTGGTGCCAGCCACCAGCTCGTGCTGCTCAGAGCCCCATCCGTGGCCTTGGGCACCTCCAGGAATGGGGCACCCATAGCTCTGTGCAGCAGTGCCAGGGCCTCACTGCCTTTTGAGTAGAAAAGACTCTTCTTGGTTGTCTGCTCTAGCAGTCTGTGGTCCTTGCCATCCATAATCTGAAGCTACTGGGAATACCCCGTTCCCCTGGGCTCAGGCAGGGATGGAGAGCTTTCCTTTTCTCTTTAAGAGCCCCCCTGACAGGTCAGGGATGCTGAACCATGAGCAGCAGGTAAGAAATTCCAAGCATTTCTCACTGACAGCTAAATTCCCATCACAACTGATGGATGTGCCTCCCAGAGCAGGGGGGCTTGCAGGTGTGCGTGCCCACAGGTGTGGTGGTCTAGCCAGATGCTTGAACTCCTCACAGTGCTTGCAGGGAGATGACCTTATGAACTCTGCAGCAGGGATTTACTGGCAAGCTCCTGGCATGAAGGCTGTGAGATGCAAGGGTTTGGCACTGGAACAGAGCTGCAGGGGTTTGGCTAATTGGCTGAAGGTGCTCCCTCCCTGAGGTCATCCTGGGGAGCGTGCTGGTGCCCTTGAAGGAGAGCAGGGGGATATAAGTGGCCAGGCTCTGCAGGATAACCAGCAACAATGGTGTCCAAAAGGCTGAATTCCTTGGCCATCCCTTCTCTTGCTCTTTGGAACCTGTTTTAGGGTATTCTGGCTAAAAGGCTGGGGGCATTTTTTTCCCTTGCAGGGCCTTCCTATGGTGCTTCCCAAATGGTATTGCTCTACCCTGCCTTGGCCTCTCCATACCTTTGTGACACCCCAGCCCTAAGGTCCCATTGCACCCCTGTGCTGACTTAGTGGTGCCTCTGCACCCACCCACAGAGCTGGTGCATCCCACTTGCAGGCTGTGCACACTCAGTACCATCCCAGTGCATCTCATGTGGCCTCAGGGCTCTCATGGAGTGTCTGCAAAGAGGGATTAGAAACTAGGGATGTTGAGTTGATTCACGTTCTCCTTGTAAACCAAGCAGCCAGTGGTGAGCTGCAAGTATGCAGGGTGCAATGGGGAATTCCTTGCTGGAAACAATTCTAAGGTAGTTTGTCTGGAGGCGCTCTGGGCACTTTGTCCCTAGGCTGGGACAAGGATGAGGTGACTTGGGGAGTGATGCTGGGAAGCCATATTGCAGGGTGTGTTTCAGAGCCTTGGCATCTTCTCCAGGAAGGCAGGAGCAGCAGTGCTGTGTGCTGGAGAGATGATGTGGTCCATTCTGATCCCCTTCTAAGAGCTGTTAGCTCTTAGAAGATGCTTTTCCAGGCCTGTGCTGTCAGCTTCTCTTCCTGTCTTATGGAGAATGAATGGGTTTATCAGGAACATTTGCATTGTGCATTCTTACTTTATTGACAACTCTTTAATTCATATCGCAGAGGTCGGCTGAGCTCTGTGTTCCTCTTCAGTTAATCTCATTTAACCCCATTTTCCCTCCTGCGTTTCTATTCTCTGCTCTCCGGCAGTGACAGCACCTGGCAATGGGATTAATTGCTTATCTCAAGTATGAGGTAACAGTGTGGGCTGCTAATTACATTTATCAGGAGGGAAATTGGAGGAATTGCCCAGGGGAAGGCTGTCCCACAAAGGATGAGCGTTGAGAGCTGGTCCTACAGGTCCAAGATCCTGTCTTCTTCAGAGCTAGCAGCCAACTCTACTGCCAAGTGCAGGAGTTATTTTTGTCTGTTTTGAAAGAAAGAGGCACGCTTCATGAAAGGAATAAGAAGTAAAATTCCAAACTGATTGGACAAAAGATTATTCCTTACAGGACGAAGTCATAAATACCCCACACCCACTGCGAGCAGCAGACTTGGAAGTGCTGGTGGAGGGGACTCTCCTTTCGTGCCCTGTCCTTTAGGGCTGACTCTCCTGTTTTTCCCAATTGCCCTCACACTGGTTGACCCAAAAGTACCATGCAGGAGAAAGGAGATGGCAGAGACCCACCAGCTCAGGCCTATGGGGTCATCCTGGCCTCCACCCCATAGCTTGGGCCTACAGAGCTGGCCTGGCCTCCACCCCACAAGAAGATGGGAGGCAGCTGGAAGATAAGGCTGGGGATGTAAGACTCAGAGCCTTGTTTGAGTGGAGGAGGGCTGCCAGGAGATAAAGATGGACAAAGGGAGCTGAGGAAGAGTGTTCCTCAGAACCAACAGCGTGGATTTAAAGTGCTGCATTCAGTGATTTACTGTCTCTTGACGTGATTTCAGAATGCTGCAGAGGAGTCGCACCAAAATGTTCTCATTTTGCAGGGTTATTTGTTGCCTTATCTGTATGGGGATGAAGAAAGTTGCCAAAAATGCTGGTCATGCTTTAAGGGCATGTGAAAAGAGTTCTAGAAGCCCAGCTTGGTCATACTGGAGTAATTATGTATGTTGCTTTTATTGCATGTCAGTAACTGGTATTAGTACAGGAACACTGCTGTCATTTTGGGTGCAGAGCCACCTTCACCTCTCTGTAACAGAAATGCTCACAGCACCTTTCCCAGCAGTGTAACACCCTCTGAGATGGGTTAATACTGAGAGACACACTGGGAACAGGATCAGAAAAAGAGCCAAAAGCCTTAGAGGATGAGGGACCATGGGGATGAAAAGATTCATGAACATGAGACAGGGGAGAAGCCAGCTTTCCAGCAGATTTCCAGCAGATCCTTTGAGAGTCCAGAGGGACTTTGCATGCAGGGTAGGGTGTTTTTCTGTTTTCTTGTTGGAAACCCAAGATAGTATTGAAGGTAAGGGTTGAAAACAGAGAAAATACTATTTGTGTGTTTGTTTTCAAATTAAAAATAGGCATTTTTAATAGCTCTTGCTTACAGCAATCTTGGGATCCTGGAAGACCTGATCTAGTGGTTGGCAACCCTTCCATGTCAAGGGGTTGGAACTGGACCATCTTTAAGGTCTCCCCCTCCAACCTAAGCCATTCTGTGGTTCTACGATACGATTCAGTCCTGACCATATGTTTTTCCTGGGCTGTTTTTTTGCTCTGCCTCGTTCCTGAAAGCCTTGACGGTGAACTGAAGTAGAAGTTTGTTGAACTCATTTTAGTGCAGAAACCACCTGCCACCCCCCAGGCTCTTCACGAGAGATTAACAGTGGCAGAAAGTCTCAACGAAGTGTAGTCACTGAGAGCCACGCTGATTAATAGTTATAGCCAAGCTTTTGCATTGGCACTGGTGACCCACTGAGTTGGAAGGGGCTTTCTAGTGCTGTAGGCTTTGCAACAATATTTTTAGCCATATGCACCATATCTGTTAATATTATATTTCAAGTTGTGGTCCAGCCTTCACCACCCGTCTGCTGCAAGGCAGCACGTGAGCCACTCTGGCACCCATCATGCCTGGCTGAACATGTGTTTTTTGAGTGGCTGTTGCTAACGATGTGGCTTCATCTGCAAGTGGCTAGACCCCAGCAAACTGCTGCTTGTGTGTGGTGGCATGATTAGCAATGGCATAAATGAGAGGAAACTAATGGAGGCTCTTACATGAATGTGAAATTCTTAGGAAGAGTCAGCATTGCTTTGTGCAGGTCAGTTCCACCTCCAGCAGGAGGGAAGATCTCCATCCTAAAAGGTTTTACTAGAAAATAAGCAGCTCAGCTCATGCCATCCTCTTTGAGAGACTGTGGGCCTTTGGCTGATTTGGTACAGCCACTCCAAACTTCTTTGATGATAGCAGATAAAAATCCCCTTTGCAGTCCTAAGACTTGGTGAGCGGACCCTGTTTTTGCATTTGTGGTTGGGAATGCAACAGGGGAGACTTACATAGGGACCCCATCTCAGCCTGCCTTTTCAGGGCCTTCACACCAGCTGCTCTTTCTCCACTTTGTTTATTTCAAGTTGTCAGGTTTTGGCTTTGGATGCTGCAACGCCCCGAAGAGCGTTTTCCAGCAGCACTGCCAAGCTCTGGGCATCCTCGCCAGCCCTCCTTCCTCACAACTCACCATTGCTCTTGGTTCTCTTCCAGGCTGCCCATCAGGGACCTTCAAGGCCAGCCAAGGAGATGAAGGATGTGTCCATTGTCCAATTAACAGCCGGACGACTTCGGAAGGGGCCACGAACTGCGTGTGCCGAAACGGATATTACCGGGCAGATGCTGACCCTGTCGACATGCCATGCACCAGTATGTGGGCTCCAGGCAACTGGGGAGGGGTGGCACAGAGCTGGGGAAGGAAGCATGCATCAGCCAAAGCACTTAGGGTGACTCACTGCTCTAGGCTGTGGGATGACTTCACTCTGAGGCTGCTCCTGAATGCTAAGTCCTGGGTGTAGGCATTCAGGAGTTTAGGGCAAGGGCCAGGAATCAGAAAAAATACCAAAAATGTCAGGTGAATTTTGTTGTGGGTACTGTGTGGTCAGTTTAGCAGGGACGGGCCTGCATTAAGAATATAAGTTTGATTCCCACTCCTGCCTTTGGCTGTTCAGCTTCCTGCACACATCCCAGTGACACCAAGAGAGTCGCAGAATCATGGAATGGCTTGGCTTGGATGGGACCATAAAGCCACGTAGTTCCCTTGCCAAGAGCTGGTTGCCCCCACCACACTGCTCAGGGCCCCATCCAACCTGGCCTTTGGCACCTCCAGAGATTGGGCATCCACAGCTCCCTGGGCAGTCTGGACTCCATAATTAGCAGCCTATTCTTCTGAATATCTAGTCTGAATCTCCCCTCATTTAGTTTAAAACCATTCCCCCATGACCTATCACTATCAGACCATATAAAATATTGTCTCCCTCCTGTTAATAAGCTCCTTTAAGGGCTAGAATGGCACAGTGAGGTCTCCCAGGAGTCTTCTCTTCTCCAGCCTGAACAAGCCAAGCTCCCTTAACCCTTCTTCATAGGAGAGGTGCTGCAACCCTCTGATCTTCTTTGTTGTTGAACCACACTCCTTTCACATAGACCCACATCTCAAGGTTGTCAAGGTCCAGCAAGAGAAGCAGCAGGGCTCAGCACAGGGCGAATCCTTGCTGGGGATGGGTTCCCAAAGCACAGAGCAGAACTCTTGTTCTTACACTTTTCTCTCTATTCCCTTCCTAGCCATCCCATCTGCCCCCCAGGCCGTGATCTCCAGCGTGAACGAAACTTCCCTGATGCTGGAGTGGACCCCACCACGAGACTCAGGGGGCCGGGAGGATCTGGTGTACAACATCATCTGCAAGAGCTGCGGGTCGGGCCGCGGGGCATGCACACGCTGTGGGGACAACGTGCAGTTTGCCCCACGCCAGCTGGGTCTGACAGAGCCTCGCATCTACATCAGCGACCTGCTGGCTCACACGCAGTACACCTTCGAGATCCAGGCTGTGAATGGGGTCACCGACCAAAGCCCCTTCTCCCCGCAGTTTGCATCAGTGAATATCACCACCAACCAGGCTGGTAAGAGGCCCTGTCTCCTGTCAAACCCCTGTAGGAGGGGGAGGTGGGGGTTTAGGGGCGGAATGCAGGTGCTGGATGGAGCTCTGTGGTATGAGCAGGGCCTGAAGGGAAGGCAGAGTGGGGTGAGATGTGGGGTGATGTCTCTTGCTCTGTAGTAAGCAGATGCAGTGGCCTGGCAATTCCCAGACTAAGCATAGAATCATATAATGGTTGAGTTGGAAAGGAGTTTAAAGGACCCCCAACTCCAGTCATTACCAAAGGCTGGTTCCACCCCTACATCAGGCCTTGAGCACCTCCAGGGATGGGGCACCCCCAGTTCTCTGGATGGGTTCTGAGTACCAAGAATTTCCTCCTAACATCTAACATCTTCCGTCTTTTAGTTTAAAACCATTCCCCCTTGTCCTATCGCTATCTGCCCAAGTAAAAAGTCAGTTTCCCTCCTATGTATAAACTCAACCAGAGGGAATCCCAAGCCTTGAATATGAAAAATATCCCCTATTTCTGTGTGCCCCAAGGTAGAGCTGCCATGCCAGCCACTGCAGCAGTCCAGCTCGTGTCACTGTCCTCTGGTGTCTCAGCATTTCCCTCTGGCATTGGACCCATAATCACTTCTGTGGTGCCAGCAGGCACACACACTATAGGTGCCTTTAATCCTCATTGCTGGCAGCGTTGCAGACACAGCAGCAGCTCACACTGCTGCTGGCAGCCCCTGTTGGTGCTCCTGATTCCTGAGGAGAGAAGGTAATATCGGCTTGAGTGTTTTGACACAAGCTGTCATCTCTACTCCAACTGCAGAGAAAGAGTAGCCTCTGGCCCAAGCACCAGAAAAGCCCGTGAAAACAGAGGCAAGCTGTAGAGATGGGAGGCTGTGAGCCAGCTGTACAGGATTGCTGCCTGGAAAACTGCTCCAGATCCTGTTCTGCTGCAAGCCACCTGCCACACCTCTCTGCTGTGCTTGGTGAAGAAGACAACATAGCAAAGCTGTAATGGTTTCTCTTTGGGTTGCCAGCTTCTGTGCTGGCCCATGGGGCTGGGGAAAGGGATGTGCTGGGGTTGCTGGCAGTGCTGTTTCCTAGGAGAGCTGCAGGTGGCAGCTGTGCTGGTGGCTGGGTGGGCTGCAGACCTGCTCTCCCTGTCCAGCCTGGAAGCCATCTGGACCTGGAGCACCTCTTGGGGCTGGGCCTGAGCTTAATCCTATTGCACGGTGGAAGCACATCAATATGGTGTGAGGAAGCAAGCAAGTGGTTGGTCTGAATGCTGCAGACTGTGTGCAGGGAGTGTGAACGTTCCCCAGGGTTCCTGGACACTACAAGAACTTCAGCACTGAAGTGGATGAGTGTGGACTGTTGCATTGGCACAGGGTTGCCTGGAGGCTGTGGTGTGTTTGCTGCAGGGTACGGATGGTGGTGTGGGGTGTTGGTAAGGCAGTGGTGGTGCAGATGGGCATCGCTTGGTTGGGCACACAGAGTGCTGAGAGAGGTAACATGCAAAAATGTTTCGGTCACCCGTGAACCATCTTGGTGAAAACCAGAAAGCTGAGTTGAAGGCAAATCCTCTTGCAGTCCCCTGATCATCCTCCTCCTTGTTTGATACTCCTTCATTACCAGGACTCACACTTCTCAGCCTGTGTGATATCTCCCTTAATGTATCTATTCATTAGCACTAAAGAGTAACTGTCTGCTTGCTGATTCCTCTGTAATTAGAGGTTTTGAATTCTTCGGCTTACATTGCCTGGCAGCCTTGGTGTAGATCATTAGCAGTTGGTAACAGAAGCTGCACACAAGAGGCAGAGCCAGGACAGGAGAATGGAGGATGCTGTACCAGAAGGAGAGTGCATGGAGAGAGTGGGGCGTTGAGCCTGGGAGTTGGTGGCTGCAGCATGGAGCTGCATCAGAGGAGGCTCAGATGGTGTTAGAGAAAGGATCCTCACCAGAGGGCAGTGGGCACGGCACAGATCCTCAGGGCACTGGGCATGGCCCCACACAGGGAGCACTGGGGCACTCAGCCATAGGGTTTGGGTTTGGGTGGTGCTGTGCACAGCCAGGGGTTGGGCTTGGGGATCTCGGATTGGTCCTTTCTAACTCAGGATGTCCTGTGATTATATTGAAATTCAGCAGCATCTTTAACCTTCAAATATCATAAATTCTTCAGCATTCCAGAGAAAAGATGCTATGAGAGAGTGGGAAAACGATCCCTGTAGAATGGCCAGAGTGCAAATCCTGAGTTTGACCGGAGGAGTGCAGCTGGTGGGTTTGATGGCATCATGACAGTTGACACTAAATAGCAGCTTGAGATCAAAGAAGATAACACACCATTCACCTTCCTGTTCTCCTAGAAATCACAGAATGCTAGAATAGCCTAGGCTGGAGGGGACCTTAAAGCCCATCCAGTTCCAACCCCTGCATTAGGCTGGGTGCCCCCCACCAGCTCAGGTTGTCCAAGGCCCATCCATGGCCTCGGGCACCTCCAGGGACAGCACATCCACAACTTCTCTGGGCAGACTGTGCCTGAGGCTCACCACCCTGTGAAGGGCAGTTCATCACTGTCTCTCCAATGATTACTGCCATCATTTGAAATACGCACCTTATTTCTGGTCTGGATTTCGCTATCATTCATTCTATGTCAACCAAATGTATTTTGCTGTTGTCCTGTGTTAGTAGGATGCTTGTAGTCGTGTAGAGACACAGTGGGTAGCTGCTCTCAAGGGAAAATAAGAGACAATTAGACCAAGATGGATCATTCTTTTTTCGCTATGAGGTGGTTTTCCAGAATGTGGCTCTCCCTTTAGCTCTTCGTGGACACTTTCATTTTCTTCGTCATAATTCTGTGTTAATTAGATGCTGTAACCAGTAGAAGCACTACTGCAAATAAATTACTTTCCTTTCTGTACTGTTTGCTCACTGTTTGCTCTACACATCCAAGGACTGTGCAGCCTCACTCAGCTGTGCAAGGAGCTCTTAGCTCCTTGGTGTCTCTCTGACAATGTCTTGGTTCCTTCACATTCTGCTTCCCTGGTGCAATATGCTTCTCTGCAAGACCTACATTTGAGTTTCCAGACCTCAGCATAACCTCACTGTTGTATTCATGGGCTCAGCCATCAAGCTATGTTCACTGCTGTGCAGAGAGGTTGTTTCTGTGTCTGTGGCTTTTTCTGAGTCCTGGAAAACGGCATCTCTCTGGTAACCTCTCCCAGGACTATGTCACCCTCCTGAGAAGATGCCTTTCTTAATTTCTATGTATCTGTGGCTCATTCCCCTTGTCATGACATCCATCCCAGTGAGCAGATCTTGCTTCCACTCTGCTTTAACTGCTCTTCAGGTAGTGGTGACTAAGATTAGATTCACTCTTACCGTCTTCATTAGCAGGCTAGACCAGAAAATTATAAAGGACCAGCATCAGAACAAAAGAAATTAAAAGAACTTGAAAGAGATCTTCTCTTTCTACCACCTTCCTGCTCGCCAGTCAACCAACTCAATGGATTTATCCATTCCAGCAAACTCCATCTGATCCCATTTCCTGTCACCTTTAAGGCCAGGCTGTATTTTCTCTTTGCTCTTCTCAGTAGACTTCTCCATGACTCCCTAAGCTGCATTTTTTCCCAATGGCTCATCCTCTGCTTTCCTGCCATGTGGTACTGCTCCCCTACAGCTCTGTATGGAGGCACGTCCAGGACTTTCCATCCGCCCCTGTCTTACAAGACCTTGATGTCTAAAGGAAAACAAACATGCCATGCAGATATAGGGTGCCACAAAAAACCTTTTCTCAGCCATTCCAGAACCAGAGATCTGTGCCAAGAGGGGTGGATGAGAGGAGAGCTGAGAGGCGTGCCAGCATCCCAGGAGGGAAGGAGCAGGAGGGAAGCCAGGGGTCAAGGAGCTGAGCATGGCCCAATGCTTGGGATAATGACACTTGACTAATTGAGAACCATGCCATGTGTCAACCCTCTCACTTGTGACAACACACTGCTCCTGCTTGCTAATTTGTGGCATTCTTTGGGGAGGGCTGCGAAGGGGGATAATCTTGGTGCTGGGAGGATTTTCAGCCTCTGTTCATGCTGTGGATGAGATGAGTGCCTGGGAAACTTGGGGAAGGCTCTTGGGCAGGGAAGTTTTAAATAGCAAGTGGGAAGAGCAGCTCTTGGTATCCGGCTGTGGCTGCTGCTCACCAGGAAGGGAGGAGGAAGAACTGCTCTGCAGATTACACCAGTTCAAGACCTCCCAGTGTCTGGGGAAACAAGAACATCCAGATTTTTGGGGACATGTTCCTTATGTGAGGGATTCTTGTGTCACACAGAGTCAGAAGGGAGGATTCGTTCCAGTGTCAGAGGCTCTTGGCTGCAAACAGAGCCCAAATGAGCTACAAACAGACCATGGGATAGGTAATACAATGTGAACACCAGCTAGCGTGTGGCACAGGGAACAGATATTCATTCCTAATAAACTGATCAGGAGAAGCATCCTCTGCAGCAGAACTGAATGGCCCATCTTCTGTGTTCTGTGGATTCAGATAACTTACTCTGATGATATATGTCATGACATGAGTCCTTTGGCTTGGGAGATGCACAGCTCACACCTGTGCTCTAGGTTCGTGCCAGACATCATTAAGGTTTAAAATTCCCTTGTAGCCATGGTCCATGAGCTTCTGCTCCTGGCTTTGCCCAGAGCAGGCTGCAGCTTGGAAGAGATTTCCCTGTCTGTGAAACAAAAACCTGGGGAAGTGTATGCAAAAGTCACTTTTGAGAGCTGGAATGAGCTTTCCAGCTCTTAAAATGAGTTCTTGTTGTCTTCCAGTATAAATGTAAAAGCCAGGAGACTTTAGCATCCCAGCATCTTGCATCTCTCATCCAACCACCCAGCTATAGCAGGACAGGTATGGTTTTGACTGGATAATTCTTGGTAATCACCAAAGGCAGAGTTCTCCCCACATCTCCAACTTGTCCTAGGGCTGCACAACCTCCTGGGGAGGAAGCTTTTCCTCATGTCCAACCTGAATCTCCCAGG